TTATAATATTTTATTATAAATATTTAAAATTAGGAAATGGTAGGCGCTTTTCATGCTGATTTTTATCAAATCAATGGTATGGTATTAGAAAGTAGAAAACGTCGTGAGCATTTAAGCGAGGAAGATCTTCAAAAAAATAAAGCTATTATGGAATCCCTTACTAAAGGCAGCTCTCAAGGATTTAAAAATGGCGAGGTAATATTTTTGTTGTAACATAACATGTATTATTGCTTTGGGACTTTTGTTTCTTGCAATTATAGTAAGTTATGAAACAAGAAATTACATAAATATTTTCTTCCAATATTCAAAAGAAATTAGTTCTTTTTCAAGCTATTCATGTTTAAAATTAGTAAAACAGGAGCTAAATTTTTATTATATGCCATAATGTTTATTTTTCTAATGAATGTTACACACGAAAGATAAGAAAGAAAATATGTTATATTTTAAGATGTAATATGCGCGCGCGCGTGTGTGTGTATGCGCGCGCGTGCGTGCGTGCATGCGTGCATGCGTGCATGTGTATACAGTTAAAGGATTTTAATACAAAATAAATGTTTATTTACTTATTACTTATTACTTAGCCTCCTATGAGAAGAGCATCGTTGAATCCGCCACCGAAATCAAATATAACGTGGGATGAATACGTCGTTGCTTCACCTGGTCAGTGTCCACTTCTAGGAAGAAATCTTGTTTATAAAGAAAGTAGTAAATCTTTCAAAGCTACTGTGGCAATGAGTCCAGATTTTCCCCTTACCGTCGATATGCTACTCAATGTTTTGGAAGTGATCACGCCGTTTAAGCATTTAAGCAAGCTACGCCAATTCGTACTTATGAAGTTGCCCCCTGGATTCCCAGTTAAGATCGACATACCAATTCTGCCTACAGTCACTGCTAAAATAACTTTTCAAGAGTTTGCCTTCCGAAATGATATAGATCCAGAATTGTTTCAAGTGCCATCAGACTACTTCGAAGACCCAATGAGGTAAAATTCACTTTCGATAAAGTAGATTAGATACTGTATTATTTTATAGATTGCTCAAAAAATTGATACAATCCCAATTTATCATTTTTTTGTCTAAAATTCATCATTTTAGAGTATATTTTTTTGCAAATATCTTAAAAAATTTTTATTTATTTGATGTAAACGAAGATTATATTAAAAAATCTATAAAATATACAGCGATCTTTTTTATTTCTGACCTTTTGAGAACAGAATACGAATAAATTAAGTATCGAAATGTTTTGTTTTTTGCATTTTATTGTCTTAAGTTTGAAGCCACAATAATACGTTTCAGAAATTACGGTGCGTACCTAACTATGATGATGGTTCTTCATACCGCGTCATGTGCTCGAGGATAAACGTCAAGATAAAAATAAAAAGAACGTTGTCGGATTTGTTATTTTAACAAACTTTTTTTTCTCGTTAACAAATTATATGATCTTTGTTTAATTTAATTGTGTCATTAATAGAACAAATACAGAATTATTCACATTTTGACTTTGATAATTAACTTTTGACAATTCTAATAAAAATGATCCAACAGTGGATATTTATTTTTAGCATTATGCTTGCTTGACATTTTTTGCAGATTTTTTGTGATTGCCTGCAACACTTAAAGGGTTAATTTTTTATATTAAAAAAAACTTTATCTATGTCTTACAAATTAAAAAAATGTTGTGTATAATGCTATTTAACATTATATATATATATATACAGTCGTCCGTGCAAGTATTTTTTTATATCATTTTGCAGCTATTCACACTATAAATGACATTTTTTTTGGTACTAATCATTAACAATTGCTTTGCAGATTTCCAGACTTATGACGCTTCGACATCCTAATATTAATCAAGATCCAGCCTAGTTGGGGGTCTGTTTTCTTCTATGCTAGGAGACAATCTGGCTTTCGTGATTTCAGACAGTCTGGAAAATATCTACGCAAGCCATTATGTTGTTCATTGAATAACTTGTCATCTTTTGATCACACTTAACAGCGAATCATACATGTCAAATCATACATGTTCGATAAGGAAGTAAAACTATAGAAGACAAAAAATCTGCACTAAATTCAGAGAAACTTGCATACTATTTAATACCTAACTTGATCAATCACGTTTGTCTACTTAATTTGTGAAGCATATATGTATAGAGATAAAGAGATCATTCATATGTTATGCTGCACTTTTAAAAAGTATATACTATTATACATACAATGAGTGATATAATCTGATATTTCAAAATATCACGTTTGGAATTTCCATCTCTTGACTCTTTGTGAATTAAATTAATTTCTCATAGAAAATCTTTCTTAAATCCATATCAGATCACGTATTGGAGATTAAGAATCGCAAAATAGAGATTAGAATTTAACCAATCGGAACAAACCCAAGACTAAGATTAAAGTTATATCTTTCGGTAAAATTTTAATCTCCAGTTTATAATCCTCAATTTTCAATGTCTGATTTGATATAGACTTTACAATTTTCTACCTGTTATTGAAATTATTGAATCATTGTATATCAAATTATAATTATTATTATATGCTCATATCTTCAATATACGTAAATTCTTGTTAGCAACGACATATGAAAAAAGTAACTTTGATAAACACGAAGTAAATATATTTCTTTTATTAGATCATAATCTGATCTTTTTATTATATTATAATCCAGCATGATTGCAGTGATGGGCCAAAGAGCTTAATAATCAAGCAGAATAGACTAGATGACTCTTGCTATGTTTGTATTCTACACTTTTCGCGAATTACCTACTTAATCAGCGAAGATAAATGTTCATATTTGTTTCTTCGCTATTTTCTTGAGCAATATCAGAGCTGCCATTCAGTAACTTACTTCAGTAACTTTTGCCATTTTTTTTGACAAAACGCTTTAATTTATTATATTTAAAATAAAATGCACTATATTTATTTTAGTTAATAAAACTATATTAGATGTACTTGTATTCTATTCGTTCAAGACCTTGTTCTTTTCTTATTATAAACTTTCAAAGTACGAAAAGAATTTTCTATATGTTTATTCACACCCATTCTACAAAATCATTATTTGAGCTTCAAACCTTAGGCCATAAAAAATTGATCAATTACAGTCGAATATGAGAAGAATAATTAACTATGACTGGTTAATTTCTTACGGCTTAAGACTTAAAACTTATTAAATAATGATTTATTGTATAGAAAGCCTATTAGGATCCAAAGATGGACCAGAGAAAATAAGAGTAAACATTATTTCTTTTGCTTAAATAGTCTTAATTGAAAATTTAATAAAAAATATCACTTTTGGTCTACTAATGTTAATGCCTGAAAGGTTATTTTTCACTTTTTCTGTCAAAAAACAGTCACTATTTCACTTTTTTAATATCTAATTGATGATTGGATGGCAGCGCTGCAATATTTTTACTATCGGAATTTCGTAAATACTATAGTGTTTAATTGATCTTGTAACAGAAGATTAGAATAGTCCAAAATGTATTCTTCAGTATTAATTGACAATTACGTAGTTTATACTATAACAATTGCAATACTTTCTTTTTCAGTATAAATACTGTTTTTAACGGAATTAACTTTTAACCTTGCATGAATCAGTGCATAATGTCATCTTTAAATATAACGATTCGTATTCATACTGCATTCAGTACTAACTATCGTTTACGTAATTGTTGCGGCAACATGGAGTATTCGATAATTTTGTAGCAAATTTTATTTTCAGATTTTTGATTAAAATCTGATTGTATGCCATACTAGCTTTTTAATATAAACATCTTGGCAGTTTAACATTATATTAAAATACTGCATGCAAAAGAATAAATTCAAGCTTGTTACAAAAAATTACATGAAAAACAAGAATTTAATTATCTATTTCCATTCACGAGGATTATTTACGAAAAATGATTCAAAATTTTGATTTTATATTTAATTTACGAAGGAACTTTCCAGGCCTGCAATTACAAGGTCTTTCAGTGTCTTGATATAGAATAAGGTTTACGTTTAACTCATTATAGTATATACTCAACATAGTTTCGAACTTTGTAGATGCAGGTTTTTAGCACTTTATGTACATAAGATCATAAACGCCCCAAAATAATGGTTGGACTTAAATGCAACTTTTGGCTTGACTTTTATGTTGATTCCTATTGTTGATTTCCTCTCGCTCGCATTTTAGAATGCATTTATGTTGAAACAGTGATAGAAACTAAGAGAGCGGCGATAAGACTGGTGACCACAATTCTATCTTTTGAAAATAGTTTATCTCAGTTAACAACTAAAATTATACTAAATATCACTTCTATAAACACATCAAAGAAAGATAGAATATAAAGATAGAAGCTTAAGCTTCTAGCGCCGTCCTTGTCGCTGTTTTTAAAGTTTCTATTATTGCACCAACATAAACGTACCTTTAGTTACGCGCAAAGGCAGTTTATTGTTGAGAATGATAAAGAGAGGGATATATGTATATCTGATTATTATTTTAAAATGTGAATTTAAGGCACGTCTCAGATAGTAAAGTAACGTCATTTGTTCTTATTTTGACACAAGAACTTTTAAAGACGTCACTCATAAGCTTTCCTTAATAAGCGTTTTAATTTATATAGTCGAGGCATCAATGACCGCAGATCATATTGCGTTATATTTCATGGACGCTATTATTTAAAGAATGCAAAAGTATGAGTGCGGGTTAATTTCCCTCGCTACTGAATGATTGTTGAACAATCACAATGAGATCTAACTTAATGATGTTTTTATGTTATGAACTTTTATGAATAATAGAATAATAACAGATTTCGAAATAAACGAGTGAGTTTGACTATTATTCAATTGTATAAAATTCTATTACGTTTTATTTAATATAAAGTAATAATCATGTTGATTGTACATGTAATAAAAAACATAAAATATCAATATCGGTATTTTTTATATCGATTGCAATTCTTGATCACCAAAGGATCATCCATAAAAATATCAAAGGCGTTAAAGCCGTAAATGTATGCAGAATGTGTATAATGTGTGTCGCGTGTTACAATTTTTATCTTAGGATTTTGAGAGTTTTAATATTTTGAAAATCTCCCTTACAAAAATCTAATACTGGCCAATTTATTATTAAAAGACAATAATTAATTATTTATTTACAGTATTAAAAAGTACTGAAAAGTAGTGTTTTTCATGCTTAAAATAAGTAATTAATTACTATCGTTTGGTAATTGCGTTAGATTTCTATAAGGAATGAAAACTTTTTTTTTAAACAATATCCTTAACAAATATATGAGACACCTAATACAGTATCTCAATATATCTTTATCTTATGTTAACTATATCTCTGATCTCTATTCTTATATCTTTTTAATTGATTGATAAGCCCTCCTTTCTATTGAAACCTTGAGCAATAATGAAAATTTTTTAACTTAAACATTTCAACTGTTAATTATAGTTCTTAAAGATAGTCTTGTTTGTTTTAGAAAATGAAAATAAACTTTGAGATTTGAAAAAGTCATAATTCGTCGTTCGTATAACTATATTCTTGCTCAACGTCATAATTTGATTTATAATTATATAAGTTTTGCCGAGGTGTATTGTTATCTTAATAAAGTTTAGAATAATATTCCTCCTATTTTACTTCATTCTTCCTAAATATTCACATGTCTCATACATAATATTACTGACAAGAAACTTTTGCATATTTCATTTAAATGTTTATAACGTGAACAAAATTATTCCAATTGGAAAAATTTTTCTTCGAATAATTTTATAAAGAATTTCTTAGTCGAGGGTTAATTTAAATTAATACTTTAATATTAATGTAATACGAATAATATTTGATAATAATTGCTAATAGACAATTTAAGAGACTATGTCAATATTATATGTGTAAAAATCATAATACGATTTTTTATATTATGGCCTAAGGATTAATTTCTTGTTCTTTTTTAATGCGTCTACTCTTAGAATTTAGACACCGCCATTTTCTAGATTAACTATAATATGATGTAACGTTCAAGTTGATTAATATCTATGCAATTTATTAATACATAAATGAATTTAATTTAATAATTTATACATAAATATTTTGCTATCACAAATTTGTTAAGAATAATAAATGATGATTTGGAAATATAAATTTTTTTGAAATATAAATTTTTTGTAGCTAACTTGAAACATAGAGCACATTAATCACCAATTGTTTAAGCGACGTTTCACGTTTACTTTATGACACATTTTAATTTATGAAATATTGACAAAGTCTTTTATACAGTCCTTATACAAACTTCAGAATTAAAACTCTTACTTGAGAAATTGCTTAGTGTTTTTTACTTTTATTAAATAATACGAATTTAATTTTATGAAGAAAGTAACTTTCGTAGTTACATTCACTTTAAAGATCAGTTCGAAGATCGATCCAAAGGGTACGTGGTCACAATTGCGGCACGTGGGAATGAAGGGGCGTACAGAATCGTTACGTGTATTGTTTCGTGACACGCGAGTCCATTAATCGCCATGTGATGCGAGCACTGTCATCCCTTGAGAGTGAGTTGCGGCGTTACATGTCGCGCGATCTTGAGCTACTTGCGATCAATTTTACGGCCTTCTCTTTGACTGACGCAGCCGAAACTAGGAAATCGTGCGTGAACACACGAAGCACGTGCTTCTTTTTCAATAATGCAGCTATTACTATTTTTAATAATCAAAATGGCTAATGATTTTTTATAAAAATTATTCGAGTCAATACAGTACTTTTTGTGAGGTTTGTCGTGACTTTTATTGCAATAAAAGTAATTAAATGGATCAAATCATTTTTTTCTAAAAAAAAAATGAAAAAGAAGTTTTATGATATATTTAAAATCTTGAGCACACTA